TTCAACATTATTCTTCATACATTCGATTATCCAGATTTTGATTACCCGAATGCCTATCGACAACAATCAGTCCGGTTAACCGAGTTTCTGCCGTAAATAAATTCACCAGGAATCTACCAGCTCTCGTTTACCCGTCGTTCTCTCTTCCACCCGCAAACACAATAGTCCGCGAGATAGTTCTTCGTTCTTCGGTGCCTCTCCTTTGTGCTGGCTCGGCGTGTACCTTGTACCATCCACTCGGAGTAACAATATTTACATCTGTGCCGGTATGTGTGGCGCCTTTGTAAGTTTACATTCACGTACGGTTTTCTCATGTTTGCCGTGAGAGGTGATTGGCTTTGTGTTTGTGTGCTTTCGACGTAGTGTTTATATGTGCATATGTCCATGTGGCTTGTTTTCATGTGTTGAAATCTCTCTTGCATGTTGGTTCATTCATTCATAAAATCCAGAGTTGCGATAGCAGAGCGCCGCCGCCGCTCGCGCTGAACTGATACATGCGTCATACTGTACGCGACATCCGGTTGGAATGTTTCTCTTATTTATTTTTATCGATAGGAAAACTGACTCTAGACAAACACGGTTTATATTTTATATTTGGTTTATACGTTTTTACAACTTGTTTCCCCTTATTTCTGAGAAATGTTGATATTTCTTATCAATAAGTTTCTTTACATCTATTTAATAAATAATTTTAATAATAGTTATTCATAACGCTTTTATCACACTTTTTGTTGTAGTAAGAGGGTGTCCGTTGATCACGTGAGGGGGAAGGGGGGTTTGACAAAAAATCACAAAAAATTACGTGGGGAAGGAAGGGGTCTCGTTATATATCACGTGTACTTATTTTTTACTTAAATTTTCAAAAAAACACAACTTTTTACGTAGATTCGAAAAATTTTACGTAACTAAAAATACACGTGATGTTTTGTGGAGGAAGGGGAGGTTAATTCTGAATATCACGACGTATCACCAAGCGGAAGGGGGGTCCAAAAAAAAACTAAAAAATCGATCACGTGATTAATGGACGATCGCTAAGTATTTAGCAACGATTCTGAGAATGTCTATATTAGAGATCAATATTCATTACATATTTTACGTATATATTATTATTAATAATTGAATACTCCGAAATAATTTCCAATAGAAATGAATACAACTCTATATTACAATAGAGCGTGTTTGAAATATTGAAAAAAATATAATATTGAAAAAAAAACTTTTTTTTAAAAAGAACTCAAAAGTATGATGATGTATTTACAATTATGAAGCTATCAAGTACTTTACCGAACTTAAAATTTAAATAATTTTAATAATTATTTATATTTTACTTAAAATAAATTTTATTTCCCACATTATGTTATCCATTACATTTTTTGTTGTAGTACTTAGCAACGATTGTGAGACTGCCTATATTAGTGTTCTGCTCTATAATACATATTCCACGTATAATTTTTAATAGTTTAAGAAGACAATACATTTTATTTATTGATTCATTTTCAAATTTTTATATAATTTATATCGTTAGGCACCCTGTATTAATTTTATAGAACAAAACAAATACATTCGTATCTATTACAGTAGATTCATAAAAATTCATAAAATTTCAATTAATAGGTAATAATACGGTTTCAATCCAGGTAATAAAACGGTTACGGGAATAATAAATAAGGGAGGGGAGGCAAATTATTGATTTTGTGGTACTCTCATACCATAGACCTGCCTTTGGGCAGACTACTATAATATTATTTTATTGGAGTATATTTCAACAATTGAATGAATAATGATATTGAAAAAAACACCTTTTTTTTAAAAAAAAACTCAGAATAGTAAAGCTAAAGAAGTATTTTCAATTATTAAACTATCAAGTATTATACCATTTTGCATTCTTTGTTAAATGCGCAAACTTCTATGCAACTTGCTGATACACTTCAATAGAGTTTTTTAAAGAAAGCTCTCTAAAATCGAATATTTTTTTTTAATTTATTCTATAACAAATAGTCTTACTTCTAGAGAAATTGAGGCAATTGTGGCAGTATTTTTGACTGTGGTCCTAGAAATATTATTTACGGTTACAGATTCAAAGTTTAAAGGAACAATATGAATGGTTACTGTTTTATTAAAGATCTGGGTTGCAGTTAAAAGCTCACAATTTTCAAACTACATAAAATAATTTTGTTTTTCATTTTTTTCATGATATTTACGATCAATATATTATTACCCTATTTTTGCTTGACATTGAGTTCTGGGATTCATTATTTTTAGCAATATATAAACTTTATTCAAAATATTTATATTAAAATTATTGTACATAAATTACAAATCACACCTATTGATAATTGTTAATGGTTATTTGCAATTACACATTTTAAATAATTTACTGCTATAAAAAATTACATTGGATATTTTATTATAAGAAGAAACCCAGAAAAAAGTGTTGTTTTTTCTATTCAGAATATATACAATTTTAGAAAGAATCTCATAAAATCTTTATATTATAAATTCATTCTCGTAGAATACGCATCTGTAAAAGAAAGCGCATATGTTGACACTCTAATTAGAGCAATAATTGAACTATATTAGAATGAATATTTCTGTGTTCAAGAATAGAATGAGACCATTATTCGTGTGTTGGTACGGTTCAGTACACTTCTCCTTGTAAATAGATACTTATTTGAACTCGGTACATTAAACTCGCCGTATTCTAATTTATATAGCAAATTATACCACAATTATTATAAGAACGACTATTAACTATATCCGCTTTAAGTAGGTAAGATTCAGCCGCCGTTTTGTATAGGTATACCTCATTTACACATCATGGGAATGCGTTTCTCATACGATTTAATTTAATGAGGAATACTACGAAGTTTTTTCGAATAATATTATATAATATATAGCATAAACGGAATATGTGAACAAATTTATGTTTTGATTTGCAATCAAAAAATATATGCAATGTGCATACAGACATTTGAACTAGATACGCACATTTACATACTGACACACTACTTCGCCTAGAAACCGACAGTAGAATAACGACTAGGAACCAATTTAGATTTTGAAACGATATTATCACATTGTTCAATTAATATTTCTTTATTTTGTAAAGGAGTTTCAGTGCAATGTATTTGCAGGATATGGGGTGTTCATTAAGCACTTTGAAAGTTTAAGTTTAAGTTAAGCGCTTTTTAAGGATTTTTGGATTTCTTCATCCCCTTTGGTGATACGTGGTGACATGTAAAATTAACCCTCTTTTCACCTAACATCACGTGTGATTTTGTACTTAGAAAAAAACGTAAAATTGTTGGATTTTTTTTTAAATATTTTGGATTTTTTTAGCAAGATATCTTAATAAAACCCTCCATGTGATATTTCGTAATTTTTGTCAACCCTCCACAATTTAAGCCCAATTTAAGTTAATTAGTATGTTAATTTATTGAAATCAGAAAAACGCATTCTTACGGAAAAAGAAAGTAACATAAAAGATGTATTATATGTTAATATGTATTTTTCAAGTAAAAATATTCAACTTTTTTTTATTCTGTATCAATATAACAATCAGAGTCAAAATGACTCTATGAGTTATATAGCTAATATACATTAAAGAAACAATAATTGAAATAATATAGAAATTTATATTCAACATAACAACAACAGATATAATATTCAACATAATGGGAACTTTAGAGATTTAGTCTAGAAACTTTAGAGATAAGGCGAAGAAAGTGATGAAAACGACTTTTTTGGCCAAAAATAATAATCTACTATCAGATTCATTTGTCAAATGCACTTTTAATGCATATTTTTTGTTCACGAAACTTTGGCTAATAATTACAAATTTCCAAATTTCTTATAAGATTCACACAGAAATCTTCTAAAATTCCATTTGTACTATTGGAGTTCGAACATTTCAAATTTTACCTTATGCAGGTAAGGAAACTTGTAGCGATTTCTTTTAATTGTTAGATACAATTCCATTAACTACTGCTTCTTTAATCAAAAAAATAATATCTAAATAATATAAATTTTCAAATTTCTTACAAGATTCACACAGAAATCTTCTAAGATTCCATTTGTACTATTGGAGTTCGAAAATTTGAAATTTTACCTAATTGACGTAATGAAACTCATAACGATATTATTTAATTGTTAGATACAATTCTATTAACTACTGCTTCTTTAATCGAATAAATAATATAAATTTTCAAATTTCTTACAAGATTCACACAGAAATCTTCTAAGATTCCATTTGTACTATTGGAGTTCGAAAATTTGAAATTTTACCTAATTGACGTAATGAAACTCGTAACGATTTTATTTAATTGTTAGATACAATTCTATTAACTACTGCTTCTTTAATCAAATAAATAATATCTAAATTCATAAAATAATACAAATTTTCAAATTTCTTATAAGATTCACACAGAAATCTTTTCAGATTTCATTTGTACTATTTGAGTTCGAACATTTGATATTTTACCTAATTTAGGTCAGGAAACTTGTTGTGGTTTCATTTAATTGTTAGATACAATTCCATGAACTACTGCTTCTCTAATCAAATAAATAATATCTAAATTCATACAATAAAACAAATTTTCAAATTTCTTATAAGAGTATTATATGAGTTATAACATTTGAAATTTCATCAAATTATAAGATACAATGCCATGAACTAATGTTTCTATAATCAAATAAATAATATCTAAATACATAAAATAAAACAAATTTTCAAATTTCTTGTAAGAATTACACAGAAATCTTGTAAGAGTCCATATGTACTATTTGAGTCCGAACATTTGAAATATTACTTAATTTAAGTAAGGAAACTTGTAGCGATTTCGTCTAATTGTAAGAAACAATGCCATTAACTACTGTTCTATGATCAATCAAATAATATATCAATTTAAAAATAAAACCGTATATCAAATTATTTTATTTAATTGTGTCGCTACAAAATAAAGAAATGCAATCATAATAAAAATATTTTCTTTTTCTTGCAGGTCAAGATTGTCTACATTCCAGAATGCGACTCTGGTGGTAGTGACTGGTGAGTACTCTGCATATTCTAATATTGTTTCAATAACACTTTACTGGGCCTATTTGTGTGTATTATTATAATAATGAATACTAACAATAACCAGAAAACATAACACTACGTATAAATATTGTAATCATTCAATATTCTAGCAACCGTTAGACCACCGGCCTTTTAAAAATTAAAATTCCTCTTACATAACCCGCGCACACGCATTGAACAAACAATATAATTTTTCTGCAAATATGGCTCTGTAACGGTACATTTCGGGCATTTAAACATTAAATCTCCAAAATATAATCGCATTGGCGAACCGTGAATATTTCACGCAAATATTGTTCGAGCTAACTGTTCTAATGTAATAGAAGTATGTACGATGTACGCTTCCGTGCGTGTGTTTAATGAACAAGTGTCCGTTATCGTTATCGTTAATTATTTTGCTGGACTTGTTACGCAGATTTACGCGTGACGATTCATCTTTTTAATTTTTAAATATCCCGCGCCGCTGGTTAGTTATTAAAATTAAGAGTCAGCGTTGCGTGGCTGACGTAACGGGCAGCGCGGGGCCAATGACGCATGACATCACTGCGCGCGTAACTCAATCGTGACGTGTGAGCATTACCATTCACCAGAACGTGACTTATCATTAATCCTTTATCTCGGAGAAAGATACATTTTCTCACAGGCGGCGAGGAGGTTCCGTTTATTTCTCGTTTCTTATTATTACGACATATAAGAAAAGAATGCCGTTCGCGACGACGCGACGACGGTTGTTAGAGGAAATTGTGATATTTTCTTAGAACTCGCTCAGATTTTACGTCCGATATTTGTTCCGAGGCTCATATATGTTATTTAATGAGCTCGTTGAACGTAATGTTTTGCTGGGAAATTCTTTAGGACATACACACACATATGTATATATGTGTAGTAGGGCTAGGAGCTTGTAGTAATATATATATTTTTTAATAAATATATTTAAATAAAGAAATAAAGATCGACCGGTGCTGCAACTATTCCTCTACCGAATCAAGTAAAAATAATTTCATAACTATTGTTTATTATTTCACAATTAATTATTTTCTAGAAAAAGTGCTACCTTACAACTTACTCCGTGTTAGTTGTAACATCTACCGGGACAAGCAGTAACTACATTAATAATAATTTATTATTTGCTTATTTTTCAAAAAAATGACTTGTTTCTGAGTAAATTTTTTCATTCTTCAACGCAAAGAATTAATCAAAACAAGTCAAATGTATAATGTCTGTCGTATTATACATTTTTATCATAAATCAACATAAACCACAATCAATATCTTGTAACTATAATGAATTCTTGAAATCATATACGCACTCTACATATATATGTATGGGAGCTAGTTCTAGTTTTATCGTTTTATTAATTAATACATCTTGAAATCCACTTATTATATTTCTATGAAATAAAGATGGGCGGATGCTGCAACTAATCCTCTACCGAATCAACTAAAAATAATTTTATAACTATTGTACGTTATTTTACTATTAATCATTTTTTACAAAAAGTGTGGTGTTACAACTCACCTCGTGTTTAGGGTTAGTTGTAATAACATCTACCGGGGCAAGTAATAACGACTTTCATTTTGAAAAAATTGACTTGCTTCTGAGTATTTTTTTTCATTCATCTACGTAAAATCAATCAAATATAATATTCCTCTACCAAATCCAAGTAAAGTAATCAAGTAAAAATAATTTCATAAATATTCATTATTTCACAATTAATCATTTTCTAGAAAAAGTGCGGTATTACAACTTACCCCGCGTTTAGGGCTAGTTGTAACGTCCTCTAAATCAAGTAATTACGACGAAAAACGACGATAATACTTATTTATGTTTTGAAGAGAATTGACATATTGCTTATTAATCCTTTTCATAAATCAACGTAAAAACAATATCAAACGTAATAACAATCAAAATAAAACATTGTGTCTCTTGTATTAGAGACAAATTGATAAAACAAAATTAATACATTTAAATATTTTTTAAGAACTAATAATTTTAACCAAATTAAGTTAGTAGGTGGGAGCTTATGGAACAGCTTTTTTTTTTAAATAATATATATAGATATAAGCTGATCATATTTTTAGGAAATAAAGATGGATAAATGCTGTAATTATTCCTGTGTAAAAATAATTCTACTACTTTTGTTCATTATTTCAAAATTAATCAATTTCTAGAAAAAGTGTAATATTACAACTTATACTGTGTTTGGGGATAATTGTAACATCCACCAGGGCGCAAGTAGTATCGAGAGAAAAACGTAGTGAACGAGAAACAATCTTTACTCATTGTTAAAATTGACTTGGTTTCAAGTAAAATAATAATCAATACAAATAAAATATATGATACGCGATATGATATGTCTCCTGTAATATAAATTCTTATTATAAATCACCGTAAACTACAACTAATATCATAATACAAATAAAATATAGTGTATCCTGCAACATAATTTACATGTGCTTACATATTATAAATTAAATATTCACTAATTGTAAGATCTGTGTATATTTCTTGTAAGTTACAACTAGCCCAAGGATTTTTTAGAGTAACCCTAGGTGTGATTTTTGTACATTAATCAAGATAAATATTTAAACAATTTAGCAATCACAAACATTTTCAAAAAATTAAATTTGGAACGAAACAAGATATATAAAATTCAAAACTAGACGATTATATTAACGTAAAACATAATTTTATGATAGTTCAATTTTATATTACTTGTTGAAAATGACACACCTGCACAGATCTGTTTACAGCGTCAAACAGTAGCTATAAGTCCATGACGTATATCGATACAAAGAAATATTTTGATATTGTATAATATCCTATTGTTACTTCTTACCTCTGTTACAATGAGCCCCTAGCTCCTCTATATATATTTGTAAAAATAGATAAATGATAAAATTACGAAATGTGCTGACAAAAATTATGATCAATAAATATCGACTATATTAATTAATTAAAGTGAACGAACTCTTGCTTACATTATTATATTAAATATTTTTATTACTTCAGATATCATTTATATATCTATTGCCCTTGAAATTATCACTAAACAAATTTTTGATATATGAGTTTATTAAATCCGCAATACGCTTCGTTAGTCGAATATTGTTACTAAATTGATAACATTTATAACTGGTTCTTAAATTATGTAATTATATTATGCAATTTATTTCAGTATAATATATAATGTATGTAATTATTACTAATGATTAATGATATGCAATTGAATAAATCTTGAAGATGATATGTTAGCTTATTTGCCAGGATATAATTTTCGCCATTAACCACAGCAGAATACGATGATAAAATTTAATAACTTTACTCTATGACATTTATTCAAATTATACATGGGTAATTTATTATACATTATTAGGTACTGTCATGACTAAATGAGTTGTAGACCGATCCAAAATTGAAATCGGTGTTTTTGAATAAGTTTTGGGAAATGTTAAATTTTTAAACGCTTACAAAATTTATTTTATACATGAAATCACATAGAATTTTTTTTTATCCTATGAATGAATCGTCTGTTAAAGTAACAATGCTACTAAGCGAGTTATACAATAAATATATAATAAAGAATTTTATTTATTGTCTGATAAAAATGATATTGTGATTATATATTGAATCAACAATTAGCCATGAGCTATTTGTTGACATCGAGGCGCCTTGTAATTTACAACGTCTATCACGTACAAGATGTAGTTACATTGGTGATTATCGGCGATCAATGATGCTATTATTGCATAACAATTTTTTTTATTCATATTACACGACAATCAGAGTTATTGCCAGAACTCTATAAGTTATAGGGCTAAATTACATATCAAAAATAAATAATCGAAGAAAGAGATAAAGGGACAAAAATTAAAAAAAACACTAATAAAAATGAAAAACAGTTAACGACAAATAAATAAATTAAAAATCAAAAAGAACAAATGTTAGTATTGACCATGGAATACATTTTTTTATATTAAGTCTAAAGGCAGTATCTTGTGAAGTCTTCTTAGAGGCGGATTATCTAACCAATATAGTTACCTATTAAAAATTTTTAAATATCATCCAGTTTTTTGCTTAAGGATGAAGAAGAACTTATTTCTCCAATCCTATAACACTTGCATAACTTACTAGTTCTTTTGGTGTTTAGTTATGAAACTACCTACTATGATTATCTATCTGCATGGGATATAAAATCAATTATACATGATATAAAAAAGAATAAAAATTAAGAACTGCATCCATTGATGTAGTTCTTCACAGCGTTGAAATTCAAATTTATTCTTTTTGATATTATATAAATCAATACTGTGAAGAACTACATCAATGAATGCAGCCTTTAGCTTTTATTCTACTCTATATCATGTACAATTGATTTTAAATCCCATGTAGATAGATGGTCAAATAAAAATAATTAATAAAAAAAAATTAAAATTAAAAAAAAGTTATATGTTGACAAGTTGAAGACCTTTTTGTTATATATTTTTATTAGATATCATTTAATTATTGGCCATAATTTTTTGCAACAATATTTTCTCTACATAAATTTAGGTCGTGAAACCAGAAGCAGTTTGATTTCCTTTGTGTTTCATAATTTAAATGACTCATTCTTTAGAACTTTTTTTTATCTGAGCCTGTTTATGGTGGAACATCAGCAAATTTTTGGTAGTACTTAGAATGTTTCAAATCGAATACCAATCCAGTGATTGGACGTCTTAGTATGATGGCAATTCTATGGAGCATAGGAAATTTTTGTGATACTTTTAAAGTATATTTTTGCTTAAACACAAATTAATAGTTTTTTATGTAATTATGTTTTTGTGCTGAATACAAATAATTGAATTTTGCATCGGACTTGTTTAATAACTATAATGATAAAAACATGCATATTAACAACCTATATCCTAGTGATCCATCAAACCATTACACATTACATAATCTCGTCTTTACATTAACATTTCCTCTATGAC